ACTGCCAATTCATAGTTGTTCTACAAAAACTAAATTAAAAAAAGTGCACAGACATCCTTATGACCTGAGCTCTCGTCATCACGCTCGATGGAACTGTGAGCTGCATTCACAAGGACGTTCTTCGCGAAAGTCTACGTTCTTTGATCGTTTTGAACTCGTGAACGCGGCGTTCTTTCAAAAATGATTGAAAGATGATGTTGTATGCATGAAACTTATTCACAACAAGTACGACATATGCGAATCATTTACAGATATTGTGTTGATATCAAGATTATTAGATTAACACTCATTTCATATTAAATTAGAAGACCATACTGGACTTTAAATAAGCAGTGAGTGTATGGGGTGAATGTATGAATGTCATACCGTGCCATAAAATAAGGTAATTTTTCACTTGGAGTTTTTAATGGCAGTACTTGCGGAACATATACTTGAAGCAAACAGGCAAAAATTTCAAATGAAAAAGGGTTTCTGTAGCATGTCTCTTTGGTCAGAAAATTTGTTATTTCGGAAGAATCGTATATTATAGACGTAACTTGACTTCAATTAACCACAAAAATAAGCCTTACTAGTCGACCACGATAATTATATTTAAAATTCATCACAGGTATCAACGATAAACACCGTAGCAGTTACAGGGGCCGCTAAGCATGATGTGTATTTTCTTACGCAAAATGTTTCCCGTTAGGTCACACGTTAGGTCCCGTTAGCAGCGCCTCTATGTACAGGTCGCCGTACTCGCATAATCTATGGCTAATAAAAGGATCTTTGGATCAATGATCAAAGAGTCTGAAAATAATTATAAATTGTATCATCCAAACAATCTATTTTAAAAACAAAACCGAACCACATCTACAGTATCTAGAGCGATTAAAACAGTTTTGTAGTCATCACATGTTCATCAAATCCGACAAAATGTTTTTCTGACCAGTAAAACACGGTTATGAGAGACTAGTGTCGAGGTAAGTGCAGTATTGAGCGGCGAATTATGTACCATTGACGGTAGAGCAGTACAAAGTGTCGGAAATCGCGACAATGAAGGGAACTTTTCCCCAAAAGCAATTGTTGATGACATTTCAAACTATTTGCGTTTTTCCAGAATCAAAATGTTATATTATTAGAACATTGATGACCATGAACGATCCGGCTGCAAATAAAATACTTTAATACAACACGCATATATGTTTAGAAACTGAAAAAGGCTTCGTGTTCCACCGGCTGCGTGGTATCATAAGCCAGGGCGTGCGTGTGTTGCGAAGATATCTCGAGGTGCTCAGTCGAGGAAGCAGTCCAATTTTCCGCTACACTGGCGATTCCAGAACATGACTCGGTGCAAGCTTTTTGAAATAGTAGATCGATTTTATTATTATTATTATTATTATTATTATTATTATTATTATTATTATTATTATTAGTAGTAGTAGTAGTAGTAGTAGTCTATGTGACTACATTATCATAGTTCTGAAATGAGGAATCTGTTTTCGAAAATCTGGGATTAAATTTATTTTGAATGGTACTTGCAAATAATTCATTTATCTTAGTTGATGACATCTGCCAGCTTTTTAGGAATTTGGGCTTTAAATATTTTTTATTCGTGTATTTATTTGGAATATTTATTTTCCGAATGAATAACAATTTTCACAATTGTTGTTTTCCCGGCCATATCATCAGTTGAATTGCCCGAGACATGCGCTGGAACTTTCTCATCAAGTTAAATTAAGATTATATTGCGTAGTATATACTTCATGAACAAATAATTTATTCAAGCAATAATACGAAGGATATAAGCGAGTTCTAATTGACTAACCTTCATGGCGTGAAAACATGGCATCCAAGAACTTTTTCTTTTGAACGGGATACATCATCCGTAAGATACTGTATATTGTAAGAGTATTGTAATTACTCTTACAATATTGTATTTTATTGTGATTGCAAGTAACTTGCATTCCGACACGTGAGCTAAAAATTTTTCAGTTCTGAGGCCTGGCAACATTTTGCTGTGCATCAGCAAGTCTCGCATTATCACTCGATCGGCTCGCATTATCACTCGATCGGCGCGCTAAATAACTGGTTAAATTTCTAATCCGGTAGGCGTGACAAGGGAACCAATTCAAGCTATTACGGTTTAGTAACCAGTAATGTCAGTTAATTATATTAGCTCATTAGAATCCTAAAATTGTCAATTTGATTGCTATGTAAGAGAGACAACTGGGGTTGGATCCACTGTGATGTACTGCCAGACGGGGCCAGCAATTTTTATCTGGGGGGGGGGGGTTTCGTAAAGCACAATATAACTCCGATTCTGTTGGATTGAATAGGAATCGACCGTAAATGGCCTTCGACCGTATTAGACTAAAACATTTGCATTGGATGGAACTGGTAAAATACTTTGATCAACTAGAGTCCAACGGCCGAGGTCGTTAAACACTCTGACCTCTATAGTGTATAGTGCAGAATTCAATGTTGAGCTTCTGAATTGTTACGATAATTATGACGATATTATCTGAATTACAATATCGTCTGAATAACTCTTCACCTGCAAGAATTGAGGTATATAAAGATCTTCAAATCAAATATTAAATTTTAGAGCGGTTAACTCATGAACGATCGACCTTTCAAGGTAACGCTTGCCTAAAAGCCTTCACGTGCACGAGCACAGCGCCTGAGGAAGTCTGAAGGTGAATCTGAAGACGCCGGCCGTAGTGTCCCTGTTGTATCTTTCATGCCTCACCTGCAAATACTTGGGATCAACAACAAACTGCGTTGAAAAGTGCATACCATTAAACGAGTGGTTCCCCTTTGGCTCCCCAGTGAATCTCTAGACACCTGGGTTGGATCCACTGTGTTGAGGTTTCGTAAAGCACAATATAACTCCGATTCTGTTGGATTGAATAGGAATCGACCGTAAATGGCCTTCGACCGTATTAGACTAAAACATTTGCATTGGATGGAACTGGTAAAATACTTTCGTCAACTAGAGTCCAACGGCCGAGGCCGTTAAACACTCTGACCTCTACGTATAGTGTATAGTGCAGAATTCAATGTTGAGCTTCTGAATTATTCTATACAATATCGTCTGAATAACACTCCACCTGTAAGAAATGAGGTATATAAAGTTCTTCAACTTAAATATTAAAGTGAATCTCTAGCGCCTCCCCCCCGGACAGACACACATAAAAACAGACGCCTCTTTCTTGATATTTAGTATGCTGCAATTTTACAAGAAAAAGGTAAAAGACAAATGTGTATTTCACAAAAAGAACCCCATTTAGTGAACTAATATGTTTTCACAGTTTTAACTGTTTCAGCACTAGAAATTCAAGACGTCACGGACAAATTTACGGCCGGACTCGTGGCAGGTCTCGCTGCCGGTCTCACGGCCAATCTCCAAATTCAGTGACCAAGAAATATCTCCCAAACTAATGGCCAGAGCTCGATAAAACTTGGAACACGTATTCATTAGGACCTAACGATGATGTTTAGCTCGTGAAAAATTTTCAAATTTCACCTTCATTTGGGAGCTATATGGCGATACGGGCCGAAATTCGCAGTGATCAAAGAATTTCTTCCAACCTACTGAGCTGAGTCGAACGAATATTGAATATAAATTCCTAACTACCAAACGGTGATTTTTAGGTCGTGAAAATTTATTCGAGTCGGATTCATGTTCCGCACGTGTTGTGTACAAATCGTCAAACAAACGTACGAACTTCTGACTTCGACTTCGCGGACTGCCGCCCCTTACTGTCCCTTTTTTACTCGCTACCTCTCCATATCTTTCCACCGCCCTCAGGGGGGCGATACCGCCCACTTTGGGAATCACTGCATTAAACTAATAGAGGACCCCATACGATGAACACGCTTCGTTTGCGGCGCAAAGTTAATGAACTGTATTTACATATACAGGACATAGGTAAAAAGTTCTACCCAAAGAAGAGTGTAAATAATTACAACAATTACAGTAATTACAATAATAAACTAGAAGGAAACGTAGTGCAAAATCAGAGATTTGCCTCTATTACTTACTCCGCACTCATGGTTAACAAATGATGCGCCTCACAGATTTTTTTTTTTCAATGAAGCGACTGTGTCATATAATTTGGTAGTGATCGATAGAGATGACTTGTGCCACCGAACAAATCGTCCGTACTATCACTTATAAAGACGGGTCGAGGATGTGTACAGAGTTGACATTATCTGCTTACGACCTCTCCAGGAGCTCTGGAGTACCCGGATTGTTGAATTACCGACTCGCAAGTATCGTTTCAATATCGCCACACAGCAATGTGAACAGCTAGGCAGGGATCAGCACTTTAGTCTACCATGATTGTTCCATAAGAAGCAATAAACACTGTTGATTCTGGTATGTTGCCAAGTGTAAAAGTGAGGTATAATTGCTTGAGCACCAAGCGACACAGTAGGTCGCTTAATCCTGCAGCTAAAGTCACAGTTTTAGTGAAGAGCCTTGTTAGTAATTTTAATTCTGACAATTTTATTGTGGACCGTCATCGCCAACGAGCTTCGCAAGTGACCATTTCTTAATTTTGAGGAGAGTTAAAGATTTTTAAGCAGTATATCTTTATTTCAATTTTATAAATTCCGCACAAATTACATCGAAGAATATTGCTGCGGTCGTAAATGCCGTAACCAAAATTTAACTTAAAAACTTTCATTTTGAAGTTAATAGTTATTAACGACATAGACGGTCGAGCATATAATTAACTGGCTGGAAATTATGACCCATTGAGCTTTGATGTAGTTTAGGAGATTATGACTTTTGACTCATCGATCTTTCACGCAGTTTAAACTTTAAATCGATTTACCAAAAACTTGCCGTACCTATAACATGGATTTTGAATTCAAAGATCTTTATCATTCTGAAGTTAGAATTCGGATCCAGAGTAACTACAAAGTATATGTGTAAAGCACATAAAGAAAGTTCAAAGCGAATAACAAAGTTTGTGTCTAATGCACATAAACTTTGAAAGGAAATTATGTTGTGGGCTGTTACTAAAGGCAGTTTCTATTCGTGGCTGATATATATAGGCGGACTTACTGAAAGATGCTAGGCGTTCCATTCATATATAATTGAGAAGGATTACTGGTCATATAAACAAATAGAATATGAATTTAAATTCGCTCATATACTGAATACTGCTAATATTTTAGTCGCGAATCGTAATCCTTTCGTAAATAGTTCCGAACAAGTTATAAATGAAGATCCTATCGTTTCAAACGATTTCAAAAAAGTAATTTCTATTCTGGACCGCGGTGGGAAAAAAAATTGTTACCTGCAAAAACTAAGGTTTCATACTAATAATTTATCGAATAATATAATTTGTTAATAAATATTATGTCGAATAACATGCATATTTTATTCCAATTGTAACGGCAATGGGATCATCTTCATTAAAGAGTTCCATAATACCAGACATCATTATTTTATTATACAAATTATGCATTAAATCAGAACTGGGTGAACATCGTGCACGAAACTAACATTTTGGCGCTTTAAACTGCGTGATTTTTATACCTTTGCTAATTCCAAGTTTCTTTGAATTCGTTCCATGGCCTTTGAAAAGAACATGGCGTGAAAAGGACGCAACAATTTTCTGACAGCTTGCCCAGGTTCTAAGCTGGAATGGATACTCGAGATAATTACTCATATCTCTTACTGCACGCGGCCCAGTGCTTCATGAAGAACCCGTTCTCTAGGAGATCGTACATAAAATGCCTAAAAACTATTATCACACGAAATGATCCACCGCTTGTGAAACGATTTGTAAATATTTTGTTGAAGTTCCCGCTCCAAATAGGTGGGAAATTTTTGTAATACATGCTGAAAATAAAGTTTAACTCTCCTATGATTCTACTCCACTAACTTGATCTGTAACCGGTATCTTTACATCAACTTTTCAACACTGATATGCACGAAAGCAATTTGTCTTTGGTTTTTATCAAAGGAACAGTTAGCCAAAACGCATTTTCAACTCTAATAAAAGTTATGATCGTTCACCGAACTGCTGATTATGCCAATCCTTAGCAAAAAGTGATACTTTCTGATGTACTTTTCTGAAAATGCTACTATCTATGCTAATTGTACAATAATTTCAGAAGCTAAGCGAGCAAAGTCGCGCAGCTTAGCAAGATCGGTGCAAAGCACAAGAAGATGTAAGCTGAAGCAGAGACTTTGGCACTGCTGGCCTCTTCGCTTACACCCCAATGTTGTTCATGGTCGTCATCATGATCGTCTTCCATATTGCGTTTCTTGTTCTCCTGCTGGATGATGTACTCTTGTTCCCTTTGGATTCGCTCAAACTCCTCGCGTTGCCTAGCTTCTTCAAATCGCTTAACTTCTTCTTCTTGCTGTTTTCGTTCCATTTCCAGCTTCCTGATCATCTCGTCTCTCTGCCTGGAGATCTCCTCGTGCTGGTAGGCTTCGTGATCGTGTAGGCTAACCCCTGCCGCCTCATGAGCACGGCCGTCCTCCAGATGCTTGATTTCAATCTCTTCTTTACGGCTTAGGTTATCAGCATGTTTACTTTCCTCTTCAAACATGATGGCTCTCATGTCGTCAGTTTTGTTGTGCGTTTCCTTTTCTTCGTGGCGTTTGTTCCTGGGGTCCTCGGGTTGTGTTCCGTCAGCTGGCGCCGTGAGGGCCTCCGCTGCCGCTCTGCGATCCAGCTCTTCTTGGACAAGAATGTCCGCCTGTGCTCGTCTCTCTTCCTCTTCAGCTCTTCTCTGTAATTCGGCTTCTCTTCTGCCCTCTTCTTCTGCTCGCAACTTGAGCTCCTCTTTTCGCCGAACTTCTTCGTCGGCTCTCCTCTTCAACTCTTCTTCCCGTCGTTGCAGCTCTTCCGCTATCAGCTCCTCGTGCGTTTTTGGTTTTGGCTCCTCAACAACGTCAGCAACTTGCTCGTGTTCAAAACCACCCTGAAACAACGTGAAATTTTAAACAAACTCTGACCCTTTCCTCTGTCTGGTAGAATTGAATGTTCCATACAGAATTGCGACTCAGTGTCGTAGGACTATAAATTCATCCATCCAAATAATAAAATTTTAGTAGAAAATAACAATTATGTGCAATCCTGACTTTTTACTGTAATTGAAATACATCAAATAACAAATCTCTTCGTTGATGAATTGATGAAAGAATTTCCCAGTGAGCAGTACTCACCTCGTGAGGGTGAAGCTCGTCGCCGATAGCAGCATCGTCCGATTGTGGGGTATCTTTAGCAGCGTCGAAGGATTCCTGAAACCAAAGCTGGAAATTATAGTCTGAAAATTTAGGAAAGCGTCTCGTGGAACTATACGTGCTACCGATAGAGTTGTAATATGTTAAAATATTATCCATCATTTTACTAAACGTAATGAAATTTTAGTATGCTAACTAAAAAGAGTCTATTTCAACTGTATTCCCGTAATGCTATGTACAATTTTCATGATTAAAACAATGGTCATTTGAGAAGAACAAAATGACTTATTATCCTTTGTTATAGTAATGCATGTCATTAGAATGCAATCCAATCGACAACATTATTTATAGTTTCGATGGCTTTAAAAGTGAACTGAAAGCGATGCTTTCGAAACAATGTTTGCCCGTGATGGTCTTCCTCTGGCAGGGCGTCGTCCACCCCCGACGACGTCTCGTGCGGCACTGAGCCGCCTCCTGACCCTCCGCGGTTCTGGGGCAGCGGATGACCGCCTGAAAAAAATAACGATGACTTCCATGAATGTAAATCTTTCTACATGAAATTGGTTAAATGGACTCCGTAAGATACAAACTCGGGTTAGAGGATAAAATAATTTGGGAACTGATCCTATTAACATTATGACGAACGCGAGCTTTGTGCCCGCGTCATGTACACAAACCATTCAAAGGCTAAAACTTCAATTCCATTCAAAATTAAACGTTCAATTCCAATAAGCGTTTAATTCCGTCTAAAAATTCCGGGTTTCCAATCGTGTTGGTTATTTTTACGAAGGTGGCTTATTTGTAGATGCCATTAGCGGTGATTTTATGGCTCCACGTTCCATAAATGATTCTAAATATAACTAATAATAATAAAAATAATAAAGAAGTTTACTTCTGTTTGTAGCGGCATAGGATAGTCTGTATTTATTAGTCACTTGCAAATAGATGACAGTTCCCTATATGTGTTTATAATCATTTTGAGCTCATTCATTTTTACAATTGTTAAATTATTCTGTATTTTTATGTATAAATTAATTCATATACATCATTTAACATTAACTTTCACTCACTGGGGAAAATTTCTGAAGATGCCGCCTTGACGCTGGCCCGCAGGCCCAACAGCAGCAGGCATACACAGGCTATAGAGCGCATCTTCTCTACTTGATGTCGACGTGTCTAATTAACACTGAAATCTCAATCTAATTAAGTCGACGTCTAGGATTAATGTCGACGTATCAACTTAACTTTAACGTAACTTATGGATGTTGAAGTTTAAAGTCGGTCTGCACAAAGGAAAATTTTAGTCTCTTGACGAAAAATATGAGCGAAATGGTTATTGCTTTTATAAGTATGCGCTTTTCGGATAAAGACATTTACTCGTGCGAGAATCAGAAGAAGAATATTTTAACTTAACAATAATGAAGACTCCCAGTTTCACCCTCAAGTTTAGTACGTACAGTGAGAGCAAGAAAATAAGATATCTTAATTTTAGATTTTATAAGTAATTATTTCCTTTTTAATTGTTTATTCCATTTTAATTGTTTAATCGAGCAGGTCTCCACACATGTCACACTCTGTAATGATTATTGTAATTGAATGATTTATCACACCGAGATGCAACAAAATCCACGTTTGCAATAATGTGTAAAAAATTGTCGTCAGAAACATTCTTTAATATTCAATGAACAATTATCTCCAACATTATGGTACTTCCTTTCTTCCTCTCAATTTTTCGTAATTGTTGATATTTTTCATCGCAAGTGTGAATTCAGTCGCTATAAGATCCGATTCTATGAGACTATAACCTTCATCATTATTATATAGTTAAATGTTCTAGCACCTAGTAAAATACCCGGTCAATATAACCAGATAATTACTGTATTCGCGGTTCAACCATTGTCAAACAGCATGATTTTACGTTATGATCGTACCTAATGTAGTGACAGTTTCAACTATACAGTCCGACAACGGCGACAATTGGGATAAACACATTTTAAATTAAACAAGGTTAAACACACTATGATTAAAACACAAGGGTTAAACACACTATGTTAAAATCTTCGGTCAATGCAGCACTATTATAACAAGGCGTAAGAAAAACCTAGATGTGTATGACCTCAATATTATTGCATATATAGGTCGTGAACTTAACTATAACTATACCGTTATAGTTAACTACCGAGCGGCCTGAGCTGCTGTCGAGTGAACGGATTTCTAAAGGCAGATGGCGCTCTACAGCCGCACTGTACAAGATAAGAATCTTTTTCACGTTTTATTCTTTTAATTTTTTTAGCACTATAATCAGCGACAGTTGGGATCAGTGGTACTTTCATCAGACAAACGTCCGTTTGTCAGCAGAATTATTTTATATTGTATAGAGGGAACGATCAAATGTGTCACTATATATGCGCGAAGTACTTGATGTTTTACTTGATGACGGAATTTGTTATGGAGTGAATTTGTTATGTTAACTAAATAATTTTTGTGGCGAAGTCTCTATTTTTTTTTAATTGTAGTAGTTATTAAACTTTCTAACACGGAAGGGAAAGTCTTTAACTCCGCTTCAGGCAGTTATTATACAGTTATAAAATATATCTAACTATTCCTGGCCAGATCAATCTATAAATAAGCTCATGATTAAAAGAAATTAATTTTAATCACTTAATTACACTAGGTGCTAAAAGCTAAACAATTCAACTGTCAACGTAGTATAATTAGAATATCGAAGCAGTAGAGGACTTCTTCATTCATACGCGCCAGCTGCTGGACACTAAAATCGTCGAAAACACTAAAGAAACATGTAAAAGTTTATTTACACTAAATCCTTGACAGTCATTCAATGTTTGCAAACCGAATGCTATTGAATTGGCCGACAATTATTAAATAAATACAATTTTAAAACCAAATTTCCGTCAAAACAAAAATAGTTTGCAAATTCGGCTATTATAGACGTCGATCATTATTCCTTAGTTTGTACCCAAATCGTCAACGCTGTTAACCACTTCAGGCATGAATCTCAAATTGAGTAAAAGCACGCCTCCAACACTTATTTTCCTCCGATAATTTACTATACTTTGTACGTTAAAATGTGACAATAATCATGCCGGGGATGCTTGAAAGCGCTATTTGCGGCGTCTGATGTCCGTTCGTTTTCAGAGAAATAAATGGGCCAAACTGTCCAAATAGTTACAGTACACATTTTCTGCACGTTGCACAGTTACACAGTGTTGTCTGGATCAAGCTGGGTCAGGATGATCCCCATAAGGACATAAAATACATCGATATTTGGGAAGATTTTATCTCTTTTCTCTACGTGTACCCTGTCATCGCTGCGGTAATTTCCAGTCATCATACCCAGTGAAAATTTACAGACGCGTCAGCTTCTGATTAGGAGTACCAGAAGGTGGGGCGACTCTAAATTTTGTTAGGGTATAATAACCTTCACATCTCGTCACTTCTCCGCTCCTCGGCCTCTGGAATGCGTCCGGACCGCGTCCCGCCTGCGTATTTTCAACTCGCGCCCAACCTATAACGTCAGAAACCGGTTCAGAGCATTTCGATTCAGGCGGTTTTCATCTTTTTCAGAGTATTTATGTTTGATCCTGCAAAGATTTGAGCATTTTAAATGGACAAATATTATTGTAAAATAAATAATATTCAAACTATTCTGATTTTATCTATGTGCAAAAACATCAGAATAATTTATTGATCTGTTCGAATAACGCATTCCAGTTTTTCTTGTTCTATAATCCTATTTAATTCATTTTTAACGAGAAACTTATTGAGGTTAATTAATTATTGTATAGCCTTGCGTATTGATTGCGCTAATAACCAACTCTTATCAATTATCAAAACAATTCATCTCTTTATTTATTGAACAAGAATTATTTGAAGTCATTCAATGCATTGGGCAGTCGGTGGTGACCTTCTGACCTCACATTTATCGCTCCAACACCGTCGAGCCACACCTCAAGTTGCTCTTCTTGCACAACACAATAATGCGTTCTCGTTATTTTTCATTCTACTTTCATCTATATCTCTCTAAGTCAATGTCTCTAAATTCGTGGCAATCTTAATAAAAAAATAACAAACAAAAATAATTTTAACCTTCCTCACGCTCACAGTCGTTAAAGCCAGTTTTCGTAACAGATAACTGCATTTCTTCACTCTGTTGATTGCGTGATCTGTTGCGCCACTCGCCGAAAAGTTTTTATGCACAATTATTTTTCTGAAATGCACTGCATGCACACGAATGAAATATCTTTTCCAGAACTTCAACTGTTGATTTTCAGGAACTCAACTATTCTTACATAAAAAACAACTCATTAATTCAAAAGGAAAAAAATAGTTCCTGACGCGTTAAACCTTTTGCAGCGTTAAATGCAACGCAATTTCTCACCAATAATTAACTCAATTAACAGTAAATTACATTAAACGTGGCTTGAATTGCGCGACGCATCGGTGCGTCTCTTTTGTGTAATGTTGCAAGTATACGAGAACAAATTAAGCTTAAAACACTTAATTGTTGGCTTAATAGCGTAACGATCTCGCTGTGTGGTGTCAAAAATCTGGCAACCGAGACACTTCCTGATTTTATAAATACAATTTTTTTCAGCCGGCCACAATTCGTTCGTTCACCGTTCGTGCAGAAAACAAATCTCGTGACAACATGTTTTATATCTCGGTTGTTGCGTTCTTCATCAACCACGATACAAAGGTTGGAAAGGAGCCCTTGCTCGTAAGAGTCCCTTTCACTGCATTCTCGTCCTCAGTATGTCGCAGATACCGTGAACAATCCAGACTATATGATGCTCTAGCATCATAGTCTATATGACTCTATTAAGGAACTAGTTTCCTGCACGGCAATTGCGCTTTATGGATAACAATTTTGATTGAAATTGTGCAATACAAAAAACATGATTTTTAATGCTAATAATAGCACAACACTTCAGCACTCGATTCGCTCGTCGAGTCGAGTCATAATATTCGAAAAATGCGCTTCAATTTATATAGAAATTGTGAATCCCCATCGACTTCTCTTAATGCTTACAGTTTAGCCGTAAAAGGATAATAAAAGGAAAAAACTATGCCTTATGACTCGAAAGGAAAAGCGGCTTAACACTTTCAGCAACCTCTCAGTGATGGACGGCGCTTTCCCTTAGTGATCGAGCAGG